ATTTAATACTAAAGTATATGAAGCTCAATCCCAAAGCACTGTATGTATCAATCACCCACTGGTAGACTTTCTGCTGCCAAGCTCTGCGGACCGGTGGAGGAAATCCTCCCCTTGCTGAGGACGTGACCAGCTCGTGAAGCCGCAGCTCTGTGGGGCAGCGGGGACTTTCCCCAGGCCCTGGAACCACGGCAGTCCCTCCGTGTGCCCCCCCCCCCCGCCTCCAGCGACTCCGGCCGCGCAGCTCCTGGCTTCTACCCGCGACAGCTTCGGTCCCTCTCCCCCTCTGCCCTTGGGGACGAGCCCAGCAGGAAGATCAGTGTGTGCTCGGTGTTCTGAGCCACGCTTGAGCCCACCGGCCGGCCAGCAGCCCTGCGTGTCTCTTGGTTGGGCTGATAAAGGCAGCAGCGAGTTTGCTCCCTCTGTGCTAGACTAACGATTTCCAGAGCTGTGATGTGGCATCATGAACGATGCACAAAAGAATGTTCTGGCATCCTAAGATGTTGCTAAAGCTGCAGATACTCTTTTAAACAAAACAGCCGTGTTAATTGAAAGTGATTTAAAATTAATAACAGCAACGCAAAGAAGCAAAAGCATTTGAAACACCCCCTGCCTCCCCAAGTTTCTTCGGGAGGCAGCAGTTAGATATGACAGAGCTTCCTGGTTTAGGACCTTGCAGGGTGCTGTGAATAAGTGGGGAGGAGGGGAACTTGCAGGAAAACAATTGTCATTAAAACCAGTAGATACTGTTTTTATATGCACAGTAGTTCGGGTTCCTGAACAGGGACCATATTTTTGGATGGTTCTTGTTTTCAAGTCCCCGATAGAAACGTTGGGTGAAAGAGGAAGGAGAAAGGGAAGAAAACTTTGCTAGTTTGCAAAGGAACAAAGTTACATAAAGAAGTGTCCTGCACAGGGTTTAGAGCTATTTTAAAAAATACAAAAGGAAAAAAGGCAGGAAAGGGGTCTTATTTGTTTCAGAGGGTTTTCCCTGCATGGTAAATTAAATTCAAAGAGATAACACTGGCAGGAAGGGCTTAAAGGAGAAAAACCTGGGTGTGTCCCGCCAAGGCCTTTCTAGCAAGTGAGTAACCGGAGCCCGTGGGAGGGTGGGACGGTTTTGCTGGATTGTACAAAAGAAGCTGATTCATATTTTTTCCCTCCTCTTTTTTTTTTTTTTTTTTTTTTTTTCACATGGGCATTTTCATGTAGGTTTCTTTTTTCAAAACAAACAAAAAGACACACAGAGGCAGGTCCTTCTCCCAGCTGTTTTTTTTTGTATAAAGTATTATTTTGTTCTTAAGTGCATGTTCCTGTTTGGCCTAGAGAAAGACTGTGAATTACCCAATAGTATCTTTAGTCAGTTTGCTACCTTAGTATCGGAAAAGATGGCATTTAAAAAAACTTTGTTAATATTACAGGAAAAAGTCTGATAAAATGTTGCATAATCAGCGTTTCTGCTAGAACTATGGAAAATCTGAGTGAGCATGCAGAAACCTTAAAAGAGTCTTTTAAACTAGACCACAATGTACAGGAGAGGTCTTTGAAAACTAATAATTCTTTGATGGCATCCACCTGTGTTTGCTTTTCCAAAGATATCTGAAAAGCATCTGGGATGCAACAAGCTAATGTCAATAGCCACTAGAAAATCAGATATTGTTCTTACTAGTGATCAGTATCTAGCATTAATGATCTTTTCAAAGTCTTTGCATCACCTTCAGGGCACCTTTCTTTAGGGTATGATTCTTTACAAAAAAAAAAAAAAAAAAAAAGAAGTGATTCTGTCTCCATTCCCTCCTCTACTATGGAGGGATTCCTTACTTACAGGACATAAACCAGATTATTCTGAGGGGAAGATGAAACACCTCCCTGGGAAATAGAGCTTAAAACGGGCGTAGTTCAAGAAAGTTCTCTGTGGCTTGTGAGATGGGAGGTAAATTCCTGCTCTGCTTTGATCAAATCACTTTATCTCTCTGGCTCTCAACTCAGCAGCTCTAAAGTGGATCACATAATCCCATCATTTTCCCATTCTTTGCCTCATCTAAGTTGTAAATCTCTTATCTGTGGCAAAAGCTGAGCCTTTCATATGCAGCACCTAGTAAAACAACTTTAGTTTCAGATGGGGCCTTTAGTTGCCTGTAGCAATAGGTAAGAACATACTTTTTCTCCATTTTAAACTTCACTGCTGGAACAAGGGCCAAATGGAGCCCAATAAACCACAGATAAGGAAACTGGAGCTACCAGCTCGTGGTCAGATCCAAGGTCAGCAGGAGCTCTGGCATTTCACAAATGGTGACAAGAGTGAGGCAGTAAGTTCATGTCTGGTCCTGGACACTGAAATATCGAGCATTGCCCCACTCTCTGACAAAATAAGGCACCTGGTCATAGGAACCAACACAATAATACTTGTGTGGGAGAAAATAACAGGCAATTTTACTTTTAACTATTTTTTTTCCATATTCATGTGTCTAATGTACGCTTCAGAAAGAAATGAGACTATAAAATGCATGTCTGTACCTGTCAAAGTTACCTGACATTAAGCAGAAACACTGCCAAGACTCTGAATTTCATTTGCACTGTATTTTAAAAATCTTTTTTCTGTACCCTCACATGGGTACCCCTGGCATGGCTGTGTTACAGCTCAGGTTCTGCCGTCACTGGCACTGATCCGTATTAGTGTTCTACTGTTTACCACTGACAATAGAGGCAGATTGGCAGAACTATACAAATGTTTTCACAAAAATGTTAGAAGTGGGTGGGCTGGCGAGGTACGAAGGATCCTTTCCATGGTAAGACCAGTATTATGTTGCTTAGAAACTCTCAAAACAGGGTTGCAGCTAATGAAGCCAAGATCAATGTGGACTGGACATTTGATATTCGATTCGATGTTACACAAGGGACTTGTAGCAAGGTCTGGGACAATTAATTCTTGTGCTGCAGTCAACAGATACGGTTATGACAAGTGAGGCAAAGAAAATGAGTAATTGCTAGTAGAATTCCCAGTGAGCAAATATCGTCTATATTTAAACAGAGACCCGCAGCATTTAATCCGTGGAGGCAAAGTGCTGTACAGGATAGTGTTAGTGGAGAGGAACCAGCATGTCCTGGTAGACGGGAGGACGAGCAGATGATCTGCTCGGCCCCCATTGGGATCTCGGTCCTTACGTGCCTGTTCCTGCACAGGAACAAAGTAAATGCACTGGCACCGTTTACAGTGGGAACCAGACAGACGTCTGCTTCTCCATTTATTTTTTTTTTTTTCTTTAATGGAGACTTTCATCTTATGGCACATGAACAGATTGAGGATCATTTTTGAGGGAGCCACGGGAAGTACGTAATAGAAATAAGCCTGTTGTAGTAGGCTTAAATTTACCGTAGATGGCCCAGAACCTGAAAAGGAAATCTCTCAGAGGTTTGAAAATCCCCCAAGACAGGAAATCCATGGATTTTACCTCAATCTCTGTAGAAGACCTACAAGCAATGACACACCTTAAGACTGAAACACGCTTATCTAATCAATCACTGAGGTCCACCTGTCTGGAAAATGAGCTGTTTTAGTCAGCAAATGGTGTCAGGACTGTAACTTAGGAAAAATATGATCCTGATGCCTGAGCAGAGCCACTAGGTGTTATGTCTTACTTCACAAGGTCTGTCTCTCACCCACCGGGTAATCGTTATCCCTAAGACATTAACCACAATTAAGCAGACTTTATCCTGTATCCTAAATAAAACTTTTAAGTGCTGTCTAGCGCCCAGGCTGGCAGCGCTAAGTCTTGACCCCGGTTTCGGCGAGGAGCCCGCTCTCCCTTACCCGAGATGGCAACGGCGCGGGGCGCACGGCTTCCCTGCCCGCAGCCAACATGGCGGCGGCGCCTG